ACATGGTTATGCTGAGGATATGTCGGCCAATTTCCACTGGAAATGCCTTTTGGTTAAACTGTCAGCAAGGAATTTGCATTTGCACTGTTAATTTTTTCTATAACTTTAATGCACAGAAAAAGCTGCTTGTTTAAGTGAAAATACATATCGCCCTGCTCTGTTCCAGCCTAAATCTTTTGTCGTATTTCACTTCCCAGAAACTGGCCACAGCTGCTGAAGAGTTCCAAATGAAGCATCAGTGGAAGGACGATTTCGAGGTAACAGAGAGAGAGAAAATACAGAAAAAAAACGTTTATACGTGTTTTTTATGTGCTATCTATTAGGGATGGGTGAAAAAATTATACAGCATAGTACTGCTGTATTTAGGATGGGGATAATATATCTATACAGGGACATTAAATATCTATATTTGATTAAATTAATTAAAATACTCTGGGAATACTAGCTGTCTGGGAAACAAGACGACTTGTCTCATGCACCATTATCCTGAGATAACATTAGCTGAGCAAACCTACATTAACAGATTGTGAAAAACTGTCTGGACACTGAAACCATTTAGCTCAACAAACCTACCTCCTAATTCAGAAAAGGCTAATGACTCAGCCATACAAGTAAAAATAGGGCAGCAACCAAACAAAAATGAATGGCTGCCTGGTAATTGTATGGTAATTGTTCACATTCCTTTGCCGATTTCAACTAAGGGTGACTTAATTGTTGCCCAGAGCTTGAGGGTGTGGAACAGTAATGACCATTTTTGATTGAAGTTAAGTCAAATAATTCACATCTAATTTATAAATGCAGACAGATTGCCATCATATTGCCATCAGTTTGAATGAGTCTTTGTCAGTGAGCACAACTCGAGGGGACTTGACTCAACTGGCTGCCAGCTGGTTGTATTTATAGAACAGCAAGGTTGCTGAGCGCAAGTGTAGTGGTTAAATGTGAATTTCTGTCTATGCAGACAACAACAGATTTTGTGATTTTCTACGATTTATCACAGTTAACTGGTGCATTACCAGAAACGGAGTGCATGTGACGTGCATGCAGCCAACATCAACCTATTCGATCTCAGACAGATAACTAACTTCATCTTATGGCAACATTTTACCGCAGGCTTTAGTGATAGTGTTGGCATGCTTTATAATCTCATTTTGCCCAAAAAAATTTTTAAATAAATGAATTAAATTAAATTTAAAAAAATATCTGAAGTGAAATCCAATTTATCTTATTGGATAAATCTGATAGTGACAAAGTTTGAGGACAAAATCTGATGTTGATTAATCACTACTGCAATACTCTACATATTGCAAAATGTTAAAAATCACACTAATATTATTGTTTTGTGAGTGAATTATTGTGATAATATCATATTGTGTTCCTACCTCTAGCACTTATAGTATAGCTACAGATGCACAGATACACAAATGGTGATGCATGTAGTCTGAGTTTGCTAGACTTAATTTGATTGTGTGAATAGTTTTTACATGTTTCCAGCATCCATCATTAGCAGTGAGTACAGTTCCTTTTGTTAACTGGTTTATTGCTCATTACACACTGTGTTATGATACATGCCCCTCATTTTCAATGACAGATGCTTTGCCTTCTAACAACCCGGGTGGCAAACAATTATATAAGAGAAAAAAGCAATGCTCAGGAAAAATACTTGTCACAGAGGCAGTTATTACATTGCTATCTCAGAGGCAAAAAATGCTTACCTGGAGCATTGCAAATGGCTGCAGGGACAGAGGGACATGGTGAAATATGACCATACCTTATTTGTTTAAGCAAAAACACAGACTGGTATCTTTTTTTTTTTACTAAATAATAGAATGAACAAATGGCAAAATAAAGAACTGCTTTGAAATTGATCAAATATTTAATAGTTGCATAAATGTTAGGGTTCTTTGTGCAACACCCTGAAGCATCCAAAAAGCATTTTTTGTGCTTCTTTGTCACTTGTTTACAGGATGATGAAATTGCCTACTACAACGCAAAGGACAATGTGAGTGTGCATTTTTTGCCCTCCTCTGTTAATTTATTCTCTTTCTCTTTGAGCCCCTGCAAACACATAGGTCATACATGTATCATGAATGTGCTTTTGCTACACAGCATCCCCACCCCGCCTTCATTGCCTCATATTCCCTCATCTCCCTCATTTTACTCCTGCAAAAATCACCACATTTGTGTCTGTTTTCACCCCCTGCTTTCTCTTATCGTCTTAGCTCTGTACTGCAGCCCACAGTTTGCTGCTTCTTCTTTTCTTCCCATATAGCTACCTCTCTGTCATCCCTCCTTCCAGCCTCTCTCAGGTGAAGAGGTCTCTGCCACGTTTCTCCTCTAATTGACAGATGAGATGTATGAGCTGGCTAGGCTCTTGCTTTATTAGGAAGCAACTGTTCGCACCATTTCTCCCTCCCCCTCTATCTCTCTCACCACCTCACTACCTCGGCCCCTCTCTACCCTGCTTCCGTTCATCGGTATCTCATCTTTTCCTCCCTGTCTCTACTGCTCTCATTGATGTAAATTGGCAAATGCACGGCAGGAGTTATAAATCTCCACAAGGGGCATAAACAATCTGAGTGTCTCCGGCTCCTCCTCCCAAATGAAGATGATAAAATGAAAAAAAGCGAGACATCATCACGTAAACAGTCAGGTTTTTTTTTTTAAAGCATGCAGGGTGTGAAAAGTGCAGCAATGTTGTTATTATGGTAGCGATGAGCTGTTCAGAATGTACGTTCAGGCTGTTGTAAAGTCTTTCATTTTTATGGAGACCAACAAACCATGTAATATATGTGCAATATGCCTCATTAATTTACATAAAGATGTCTGCTATGATTTCTTAAACCTATAGTGAGAACAGCCATAGATAGTGCTTTTAATCTTTTTTTCCCCTTTCAGCTGGATGCAAATGAGACAGAGGGAAGAAAGAACAGGATTCGACCAGACTTTCAAGAGGACCCCTCGTTTAAACGTTTGACTGACTACAACCACACGGCTGTCCACATTCCCACTGACATCTATGATGGCTGTGAGTGCATCGTCACACACACGCACACATACCAAAGTGGTTACTGTGGATACGGCTGACACACCAACCCATTATGAAATGTTGTTTACAGATTGTGCCTCAAGCAAAGTTGCCCTTAGCTAAAAGATGGGTTTAACCAAAAAAGCCTCATATATGTAATAAGCTCTCCTGTAGTACTCGGTTACTTAACAAAGCTGCCTGCCCTTGGAATGTAAAAGAACAGGAGGCACAACAACTGAAAGGATTTATGTGTGTATGTTTTCTTTTTTTGTTTAGAAAGATTTTTGCTATTGGTAGTTATGCAGCTTTCAGTTTAACCAGAACTAGAATGATAAGTATCCATTTATTAAAATTATAAATCATAAATGTATTATTCATATGAATATTGCAGCTATTCAATGTCTTTAGGAACAGACTGATATAAATAGATAGATATAGGAGATATCTCCTTAGAGTTATAATACACGTATATCTATAGACTATATTATAGATACTGACTATAATAGATATATGCATGCAATTTTTGCTTGAGTGAACACTTATATTTATTCTTGGCACAGGTATTTTATACTGTTACCCATAAAAGAATGCAATGTGCAACTGAACTGCACTATACACTGGATTGTGTGTAAATCCTGAAACAATAATATCATCTGTTGAAATATATCAATCAGTACATTTGCATTGTCAGCATTTTTTAAGAACAGAATGGTTCATTTCACTGCACCTGCTACTTGTGAAAGGTTGGTGAATGTTCACTGAACATGTAGTCAGTTTCTACAAAACAAAATAAAAATACGAAAAAACAAAA